CCATCCACATGAAAGCTCAGAAAAGTGTGAGATTGTTGTCAGAAATGGTCATTCTCTCAAATATTCAGGTTCAACAGTTCATTTGTAAGTATCTGATTGGAGTAAAATAGATCTTGGTCCTCAAAAAAAAATTGAACAGCAACCAAATTTTTGGGGGCCCACAGTGCCCCCCTTAATAAAGATACCCAAGATTTGACAACAGATTGAGAATCTATGACTACTATAATCTATGAATCTACAATAATACACATTTTACCATCCAAGCTCTATTTTTTATAAAGTTATGGTCAAACATACTTAATAAGTTAAGGCATCTGAAAAAGTGAGCATGGCCCCAAAATTTCAATGGGCCATAACTCAGGAATGACTCAAGGGATCCATCCATCCATCTATTTCCGTCCGCTTATCCGGGGCCGGGTCGCGGGGACAGCAGCCTAAGCAGGGACTCCCAGACTTCCCTCACCCCAGACACGTCCTCCAGCTCCTCCGGGGGGGACCCCGAGGCGTTCCCAGACCAGCCGGGAGACATAGTCCCTCCAGCGTGTCCTGGGTCTTCCCCAGGGCGTCCTCCTGACATGCCCGGAACACCTCCCGAGGGAGGCGCCCAGGAGGCATCCGGAACAGATGCCCGAGCCACCTCAACTGGCTCCTCTCGACGTGGAGGAGCAGTGGCTCTACTCCGAGCTCCTCCCGTGTGACTGAGCTCCTCACCCTATCTCTAAGGGAGCGCCCAGCCACCCTGCGGAGGAAACTCATTTCAAGCGCTTGTATCCGCGATCTCGTCCTTTCGGTCATTACCCAGAGCTCATGACCATAGGTGAGAGTAGGAACGAAGACTGACCGGTAAATCTTCACCACAACGGTCCGATACAGCGACCGCATCACTGCCGAAGCTGCACCAATCCGCCTGTCAATCTCACATTCTGTCCTCCCCTCACTCAAGGGATTGACCTAAAATTTGAGATTCTTTCATTTGGTGATTTTAGACATTAAAAAAAAAAAATCAGCCAAATCTGTAATGGCTCATAGGGGAGGGCAGCTGATTTCATATGGACTGACCCAATGTCTAAATTATAACATAAAGATTCATGGGCAAATCTTACAGCTAACACAGTAAGGAAGGTTTGAATAGGGCCTTAAAGAGATCGCTAAATGACTCAAACGTGCATGGATGACATCTAAAACCTCTTCAGGCATGTTTTGGATGAGAAAACAAGGTTATAACATGGTAGAAAAATAAACAATTTAATAATACTCTCTCTTTACAATATGGCAGTAAAATATTAAAGTATGTCACTTTTTAATTTTAGCTGACTAAATTAACTCTGACTTTGTTTAGATCTTGGATTTGTCGAATAACCACGTCCAAACTCTCCCTCCGCGCATGATGCACCCTCTGAAGGCCATAGAGACGCTGTATTTGGAAGGAAACAAGGCAAGCACAAAAACAGCTCTTTTATATTGGAGGATTGTAGTTTTGCAGTTTTTATCATTCTTTAATTTTGACTTAAAGGTGCACTGTGTAATTTTTCGGTTGGGGGTCCATTGCCTTCTTGTTTCTATGAATATGTCATTTCTCTGCCTAGAATGTTCCACAGTATGACATTAAACAGATCTTGCTAACATGTATTCAATTACAGGTGGTTTTATAGCTCAAAAATACCAATAAAAACAGACATTGTGACTGTGAGTGGGGTCGCCTCTCCACAGATCTGACCTGTAAATTGATCTGGTTTGATCTAGAAAAAACCTTTCTATCTTCATGGAGACCAAACCAGATCAAGTTATATAGTAATGTCAGTGGCGGAGCGTCAGGGCCTGCAAGTCCTTCTCTGCTGGCCAAAAAAAAATATCTGAATCACAGACTGATGTTAATTATTATTAAATAATTCCAAATGTTCTGTTTGCTTCCTTTCAGAGCATTTCTGCTGCTTGTGCTGCTTCCCCACATGCATTTTCATATTAAAGCATTTGACCAATCACATTTCAGCTGTCACTTGTTGCTAGGCAGAGTCAAAGTCAAAGAAGTGTCCCTGAGGCCTTCACAGTGCGTTCTGCAGGCCCTCCAACACAAATTAAATGTCCATGAAACTGTTGCTTCAACCAATCAGATTTTGATTTGGTATCGCCAGGGCCTTTATCAGGTGTACGACGTCACCGAATTCAGAGCCGCTGATTGGACAGTCAGAGAGCAAACCAGCCAAAGTAGCAAAATGCATCTGCAGCGGAACCAGGACTAAACCAGGTCTAAACCAGGACTACACCAGGACTAAACCAGGACTACACCAGGTCTAAACCAAGTCTAAACCAGGACTACACCAGGGCTAATCTTGGACTTGAGAGAGAGAGAGCGCGAGAGCATGTCTGCAAAGCACGATCGGGCGACAGCTGCACTTAGCCCCATGTGGCGCGCAGCACTGAGCGGAGTCCTGTCTGCGGTCACCCGACTACGCGGGCGCACCTTCGGGCCAGTCCCGGCAAACAGTTCTGGTTTAGTTCTGGTTTAGTCCTGGTTTAGCACCCCAGCGCTCTTCACTTCTTCTCTGTGCACCGCGCACCCGCCTCTCCTCACTTCTCCGTGCACGGAATCTCCACAGCTCTGTATACTGTGTTTCTGTTCAATAAGATGCTTTTATAACCATAAAATAGTTATTGAGGAGTGGAGTGTTTCAGACCGGGCACTAGTGAAGGCCTAGGTGTGAAATTCATGCTCAGCCACTGAGTAATGCCATACTGTGACACATTCTAGACAAAGCAATAACATCTCCATGAAGAAAAGCATTTGATGAACCCTCCACTAGAAAAGTTACACAATGCACCTTTAATTTAGTGGGATAATACCTGTTATAAATATACATTTCGCCAATCAAGACTCTTTTATGTATTTTTATATATGTATGTCAGATCAAGGTGCTGCCTGATAACTGGTTCAGCCAGAAGAACGAGGTGCCCTATCTGTACCTCTCGGCCAATCCGTGGGCTTGCTCCTGTTCCCTTGGTTACCTGCGCATGTATCTGGAGGAGTACGATTACAACGTTTATGTGAAAGATGGACCCATCATCTCGGCGGATGCAGAGAGTGTGGTGAGATCTACAGCTTTTACACATTTTTTTTAAAGGCCCCATATTATTTGACTCTTGAGAACTTTTAGATATGTTCTAATGTTGTTTCCTCCTCAAAAACCTAACTGGAGTTGTGTTTTGTTTCATTCACATTCTACATCTCCAAAGCTCAAAATGCTCTGTTTCAACTTGTGATATCATGAAGTGGTAGTTTTCACATCAGCAGCTATTTTTTTTAACCTTTTGTTCAGTAGAGATTGGCAATTCCAGGACTGAAATTATCTAAATGGTTCTAGTGAAGGTGCACGGAGTTTAAAAACACACAGTGGAGCACGTCCTGTGTTACTACATGAGGTGGAACAGAGTGTTTTCTGTTTAAGAGAAGAACTCAGTCTAAATATGCAATGTTGAACGTGTGAACAAAACAAAACACAACTCCAGGTCTGTTTGTGATGAGGAAACAACATTATAACATTTTTATAAAATAGCGTAACATTGGGCTGTTTAATATAGTCCAGTGCTCACTACAAATACTGTATTTTTCAGACTATAAGGCACACTTAAAATCCTCTCATTTTCTCAAAAATCAACAGTGCACCCTATGTATTAATTCTGGTTGTGCTTACTGATGAATCGATTTTATGTGGTACACTGTGCTCAAAAATCTCGCAAAATGTTTCAGTATGACTCGCTATGAAGCTACGAAGGCACTCCGCTTGATGGATTGTCTGAGCATTACGGCTACTGTAGTCAGGACCCTCGCAGAGTAAGTCGTGTGCTTTAGTCCAACAAAAGATGACCACATCAATGCACATGAAGCAAGCTATTTTTCAGCACCTATAGTTTATGCAAATGTGTCATGTGGCTTTAAGTTTCATCTCTGTAAAACGTAAAATGTGCATAAAGCTGCATTAAACACATTATTACTCATTGCATATTTGAGTTGTTCTTGTAGGAAATAAAAAACAAACTTAAACGATCCGATCACATTCACATTCATAAGCCACATTCACCAAGACAGGGAGGCAACGCCAGGCGAATTACGCCACGATCTTCCAATAGATCGTGGACGCCTGGGCTAAGGGATCAGTCTCAAGTGTTATACCCCTTATAATCCGGTGTGGTTTATGTATGAAAATACACAAGAGAATACAACATTATTGATATTGCACCTTATAATCCGGTGCACCTTATAGTCCAAAAAATACAATAAATACGCCTTACATACATCAATGTTTTTTTTTTTTCAGATTTGTGACAGTCCACGGTCTCTAAAAGGTCAGTCTGTGATCAAACTTGAAGAATCGGACTTTTGTAATCCACTGACTCCCACTGAGCAAAGCCATTTTTTTGATACTACCACTCCTCCTAAGCCTACTACTACTACTACTACTGCTACTGCTGCTACTACTGCTGCAGTTCCCACTACTCCAGTTTGGACTCATGGTTATTACAAAATTGTCACAATATACGAATCTTACACAGTAGACTGGTCTGATATTTGGGGATCACTGCGAGGGGATGGACGAAGAGTCAAAAGAACGACTGTGCCGCTAACAACTGAACTCCCTACCACAACTTCGACAGCTCTCCCCACTACTACACCACAAACTTCTCCAGTATTGACAACTTCTACAGCTCTCCCCACTACTACGCCACAAACTTCTCCAATATTGACAACTTCTACAGCTCTCCCCACTACTATGCCACAAACTTCTCCAGTATTGACAACTTCTACAGCTCTCCTCACTATTATGCCACAAACTACTCCAGTATTGACAACTTCTACAGCTCTCCCCACTACTACACCACAAACTTCTCCAATATCGACAACTTTTTCCACAACAATCCCACCTGAAATACAACAGACAACCTTTGTTACCCCCGAAACTTTTACAATGTCACCTCCAGGAGTTTATGAAGGTCGTATAATTAGCAACAACATAAGTAGCGACAGTGCGAGCCCTCTTGAAGCTAGGACCGTTTTTTGCTTTTGGCTCTTTGTAAGTTGCGCGTTTCTCTGTGTAGTTTCCGCTTTTTCGTCATTAGTAACTGCATTTAGGTTGTATTTTTGGTACAGAGGGGTTTATAAGTCATTAAAATGTATCATAGCTGGCAAGGAGCAAGTTAAAATGTTGAGTTATTGTAGAGATATTGACAAGAAACAGGCAAAATATCAAACTATGCTTTTTGTATCTAAGGATGTGAATCAAGTTGAGTGTTTTGTTAATTTAGGACCAAAAACCTGGACAGAAGAAGCACAAAATGTTGAAAAAATAATGTACAAGGAGGCAGTGTATCACGAAATTAGCAAAGAAGAAGAAATTGAAGCTAAACACGTGCTAGCAGAATGCACAGTTAGCCGAGAAGCTAACTCAGGCATGTCTAAAAAGCGTTACAGTGTTATTTTGAGGGAGGAAGGTGAAAAAGAGGGAGGGGAAACGGAGAAATGTGATTGGGTGGTCGGGGGCTGGGAGGTGGAGAAAGGGGCGAGTCCTGGGAGCAGTTGGGGGGAGTGGCTAGTGCAGAATTTGCCGAGCATGCCTTGGAGGGTGAGCGCGCCGCCCAAAAGGGAAGCGGAGTCACTGTAGTGTTGCGTGAATGAAAAAGATGAATGAGGAAGCTCACAACGGTCTACTCAATTTCCTTTAAAGGGCCCATCTCATGCAAAATCAACTTTTCAGTCCTTTCTACCTTCTAAGAGTGATCTGTGGGCCTTGTATATGTCGCCAAAGTGTTTTTTAGATTGATTTGGCATTTTTTTGCAGCGTATTTCTGCCACCCTCCCACGAGACAATGAACTAAAGCTGCTACAACGATGACGCAGCAGATACACCTATGATGCGTTTGACATAGCAGAAAGTGCTTCACACCTGCCCCCCTCAGTGTATTGTTCTACACTGCAGTGTACGCAATATAATAAGTTGATCTACTAGTGTTTATTAAAACTTTACCAATCAGTAATGTTCAGCTGATGTGGACGTGGTGCTTGAGCTTCGTGCTCCTCAAAGTCCTCGTCTGATTCCGGGTCCAACACATGCGGCTGAACGCGCTGTATCTCCATGATGAATAAAAGTTTATTTCTACCACTATCAGGGTGCACGTCTGTCTCCCCCTCCCTCCCTGAGATGGGCGGAGGAAGGGCGGCTCACTCGTCGCCTACGTCACGTTTGGAGGGCGGAGCCTGTGCTTTCTCAGGACGGGCGGGGGGAGGAGCAATAGTCGGCCTTTCATAGTTCCTGGTCTGTGACTTTCTCCAAGAAACCAGTATTGTGTTTGTATATGTGCAGAAGATACAATGTGAAAAGAGTTATTTTACATGAGATGGGCCCTTTAAGGAGTTTTTAATTGAAAATTTATGGAAGCACATTTCCACCAGTAAATTTTAAAAAAGCCTCATAGAAAGTCAGAATTTTTTTTATATTTTTAGTTTTAAAAGTATAAAAGTCATAGTTATGACTTTCTGTGAGGCTTTTATTTTTTATTTACTGACGGAGATGGGCTACCATAAAAATCTGATACTAATCGGCAGTACACAGGACTTACAGTCATACCATACTCCATACAGATGTACAACAACTCACCTTTATGTAACAGATAATACTCCCTACAACTGTACAACAACTCACCCTTATGTAACAGATAATACTCCCTACATCCTGTCAATCATCATAACATTGTTGTACTGTCTTCCTTTGACCTCTTGTATATAGCTAAGATTGTATATTTGATTACTTATTTTATTTTGACTTGTACATTTACATTTAAATAATTATGTTTTAGTTGACACCTGTCTCTTGCTTTTCTTTTTGGCTACATATTTAGAATTTATTATTACCATTTATACTTTTTGCTCTTTGTTATTATATTATATATTGTGATGTGTGGGCTCCTGTGTTCATGCGTGTGAATGGGTGAGTGGTTCCGTGTGTTGTAAAACACTTTGGGTGCCCTGAAGATGGAAAAGTGCTGTGTAAAAATGTGACCATTTAGTCGATACAAAAGCTAGTAGTACATGGGAATAGAAAAAGTACTACTACTACTACATTTAATGTTGAAAATGGCATTCAATTGCCTAAAGAAGAGTGTTTTTATTATCATTGTGGTATTGGAATTGGTATTGAGTATCAAGTCTATTCCTTAGTATTATCATGACAACACTAGTTTTTAATAATGTATAAATTTGTTAATTAATTAAACACAACTCTTTGTTTTTTGTTTATTTCACATGTTTAAATCATGAATGCTGTTGCTGTTGTTTTTGCTTTGACTAAAATGTTCCACAGTATGCCATTAAACATATTTACCTAGCACTGCATTTGTATCTTTAGCTCAAAAATCCCTTGAGAAACATGCAATCTTTCTGTGAGTGGGCTCATCTCTCCACAGATCTGACCTGTAAGTTGGCCAAGTTGCTTGTCGCCATGGAAATAAATAAGTTTAGAGCATCCAAATCTGAGTTACTTTATGTTATGATGTGTCTCTGTAATTTTAAGATTCAGAAGTATTATGTTAAAATTGTATCTTTGAATGTGGGGTTGGGACAGATTTCTTATGTTACAGAGTTTCCTATAAATAAAATGATTTGATTGAAAGCTTTTTATATTCAGTGTTTTTTTGTTTTGTTTTTTTGTTTGTTTGTTTTTTTTTAAATGAAATTAAGAAATTACATCTACTAAACTACTACCAAATGACATCACAAGGTGGATCAGAACATCTTGAGCTTTGGAGATCTAGACAGACTAATAATAAAGGATTACTGAAACATTTAATAACCAATTCACTGCTTGCTTGAGTGATCGCTCATCTTTGACTCTAAAACCTTAAAGAGCACGAGGACAAGTAGGATTAAATTCTGCTCCACATTTCTCCATTGAGGTAAAACAGAAAATATCAAGACACATTGTGAAATTATTATTCTACCCAATACACAAACAAGTAAAACCTTTTTTTTTAACCAGTTCTATTTTATTTGGTGTCGTACAATGTTGGAAAAATGTAAACATGAGGACTAAGAATTATATTGTGTGACAAGCGGCCATCCAGTGTGAATTCGGATCCACTCGTAGAAATGAGCCACCTGGAAACAAGAACAAAAACAGCAGTTTATGTTAATGACTAGAACCAAGAACTCACTATTGATACTTTAACAGACATCATGGAAGCCCATTTCTGCCAAAAAATAAAAACTAAAAGCCTCACAAGAAGATAAAATTATGTGTTTAAAACTCATAATTATACATTTTCAAGTCATAATTAGGAGTTTTTAAAACTGACTCTGAACCTGCCATGTAAGTAGACGGGCTGGTACGACCACTTGACCACTTTTCTGGAGAAGCAATGTATAAACCCAATACAAGGAAAATGTTAGTTATTTTACTAATTCACTTCAGAAAAAAATTTGAACTTTGCACATCAATTACTAGAAATGTGTGCATTGGAGGAGAGGGAGCAGCCCAAGAACACAGAGAAAAATCTCACACACTCTTATTTGTAAATTGTGAGATTTATCAGGACAAACGGTGCAACGTTTCAGCACTAGGCCTTCGTCAAGCAAACAGAATGAAAGCTCAGGTGGCCATCTTAAATAGGGTGTGGCAAGCACCCAAGGGTGACAGGTCATAAAGAAACAGTGTACCAAAATCCCATAATTCAAAAAACAAAGACAATCAACATACAGTATAATGATAATAATAATGGAATATTAATCATTAGTAGAAAAATCATTGAATAATAATAGAAAAATAAGAAGAATATCTGGATACATATAGACATAGTGTATATTCACCCAACTATAAAATAATGCTGTCGTGCCATATACACATCTATATATGTATATATGTATATATATATATATATATATATATATATATATATATATATATATATATATATATATATATATATATCAATGGATCTTAAAAATATAGCTCACTCCAAAACGAGAGAGACTTCATGATATAACAAATGCCTACAAAAAAAATGCTAAGATTGAAATCATCATCGAGTCCTTTTGGAGCTAAAGTTTGGAGAGTATGAATCCAAAATGCTTCCCATTGTTTAGGTGTCCGGTCAAGGTCCCCTCCTCTGAGCTGATTGGAGGGAGGACATGCTCAATGCCACAGAAACGGAAAGAACTAATATCGTGTCTCTGATCATTAAAGTGTACTGCTATTGGATAGTCCCGGTCTTTCCTTCTGATGGAGATCTTGTGCTCACTTATTCTTTGTTTGAGTTTTCTTGTGGTCTTGCCAATATAAGCTTGGCCGCATGGACATTTCAACATGTAGAGCACATGTGTAGATGCACATGTGATGACACTTTTTATGGCATATTTCTTACCAGTGTGAGGGTGTAAAAAAGTGGTCAGTTTTTACTGTATTATTGCATTGGGCACAGCTGCCGCGGTGGTAGTTGCTGCTAATTCACTTCACATAGCATCAAAATGTCACAGTTTTCAGTTAACAGAGATGGACACTTTGCACATAGTCATTCATATGGGATTTGTGTGGATATCTCTTTCATTTTTGTCTTTTTACATCATTCACTTCATTAACAAGCAAATGAAGCTTTGTGGAGAATGTGAAGCTGTCCTGAACTCTCCAGAGGATGGCTTCTCCAGGAAAAATACCCATGTGCCTGTATGGCAAGGGCAGATTCAAAGTCAACTTTAAAACTCATAATTATGACTTTTATATGCCCTCCACCGGTATTAAAGCAGAACTGAACATTAAATCTACTTATTATGTTATAAAGTTTATAAAGCTCCATTAGACCCAAAACAAATTAACCTGATGCTTAAAGGTGCACTGCGTCACTTTTCTGATGGAGGATCCACTACCTGCTTGTCTCCATGGATGTTATTGCTTTGCCTGGAATGTTCCTTGGTATGACATTAAACATACACAGCTAACATTTATTATTGCATGTGTTTCTATTGCTCCAAAATACAATCACTCTTTCTGTGAATAGGGGCGATGCTCCACAGATCTGACCTGTAATGTAGCGTAGTGCTGTAACCTGCTTGTCTCCTTCCTGACAGACAGGTTTAATCTATACTGTGGAACATTCTAGACAAAACAATAACACCTCCATGAAGACAAGCAGGTGGTGGAGCCTCCAATAAAAATCTTTAAACAGTCCCAGGCAGAAACTTTTGACAAGCAATTTCCACTGCTCCGTCCTTTTACCAGTGTGTAGACTCCAGGGAAGCCCGGCTCGCCACACTTGTCTCCCCAGCTCACAATGCCCCACAGGTAGGACACGCCCAGCTCATCTTCACACACCAGGGGCCCCCCACTGTCCCCCTGGCACGAGTCCACAGAGCCATTCAAATCCCCTGTGACAACAAACAGTTTAAACATGTCCTATATTACACAAAGCTGACTCTTGTGAGCTTTAAGCCATGTTAGAATGCTGTTACCTCCTCAAACATATACCTGGAGTTGTGTTTTGTTTCATTCACAAATATTTCTTTTACTATTAGTGTGTCTAAAATGATCCATATTAGTCTGGTACATAAAGTATTACCATATGACATCACCATCATAGATATAAGGGCAAAACACAGATCAGAAAATAGCATAATACTGGCCCTTTAAGAGACCATTTTGGGCAAAACTGGGTTCCATCTTCATTCCATCATTCAGTACTGAACTTTTTTGCGCTTGTAACCGTGTTATAATGCTCTATCTAAGGCTACATTCAGACTGAAGGGCTTAATGCTTAAGTCAGATTTATTTATTTATTTTTTTTTGGGGGGGGGGGGGTCGTTCTCATTTCCAATTAAACATGATTTAATGTATGTGATCTCCAGGGTGAACTTTAAATGCCCCAGAAGCGAGAGCGAGCATTGCTACAGAAGTAGCCTAAACGTTGGGCAAGTCTCCCAAAATACAGTCCAGTTCTTTGTAAAATGGACAGGTTACACGTCCATGGCCGCTTTGTGTGCCTGAGTGTTTAGGCTCTTTATTTTTTGTTGACATTGGAGCCAGGCCGCCTGTAGTTGTGCTTGGCCATTTCTTTGGCAATCATTTAAAAAACTGCCCAGTTCCAATAAGGCCCCTCCAGATTGGCCTGAATACAGCAGAATACAGAATACAGTCGCATGTCAGAAGATCAGATATGTGTCGGTTTCAGGAGCACATATCCAAGTAGTCTGGGTCACATTTGAAAAAATCTGATCTGTGTCGTTCAGACTGTCATTAAAAGATCAGATACAGGTCCTAAGTTTTGTTCTGCTTCTGTTTGACATAGATATTTAAGGATTTTCAAAATGGTCTCACCTGCACACATCATTCCTGCTTTGAAGCGATCTTTATAATGCTGCTCACAATTAGGAATCAGGGAGACATTCGCCCATAGCAGGACCCTAGCCGCTTTACCCTCTGGAAAAATACAGATATTTAGATATACATATATACATACTCACCATAGAGTTACAAGTCAGATCTGTTAAGAGGCATCCCTGCTCAAAAGTCAGGTTTTGGGATTGTTCGATACTTTAAGTATTACTTGGTATCACACCAAATGCCTCCTGAGGGTGTTTGGAGATTCTGTTGTGTAAAGCATCTTATTCTGCATTTTTGACCAAGAGAAAATAAATAAAGCTTAAAAATGCAAAAATCCTTTATCTCCGGTGTGTCGTCTTGTGTGTGGTACCTGCGGTGCGGCCCCAGCCTGAGATGCTGCAGGTGTGGTTGGGCTGGAACAGGTGAGGGGTCCAGGGCACACACACACACGGAGCGCACCGCCGGGTTCTCTCTGAAACACCTCTCTTTAAACGGGAGCTTCTGCAACTCCACCAGAGCGATGTCGTTCTCGTAGGTTTTACCGTTGTAACTAAAGAAGAGGAGGTTAAACTGCATATGACATGTTAGACTGCTCATTTCCTCAGACTCATTTTTGTAGGTCATCAAGCTTCCTGCTGACCGTTTCCCCGCTTGTGACCGTGGAAGGGCTGCAAACTAAAGATCAACCGATATGTTGTTTTTTTCATGGGCCATTATATCATTTAAATTTACTACAAATTCATCCAGACTCAACCTTTAAGATAACTGTGTAGTTTTGTGCAATTATCTCATCCCATTAAAGTGTTCAAATAAAGCTTCTTGTGTATTCTTTATGCATATCCGCTTGTGCTGGAGATTGAATTGAACCGGACCTGCATATGCGTCACCTAAAACTCACTGACTTATTAAACTTAATGTAGTTACAAGAGCTAAGAGGCCAGTTTACTCTTTTTGCCAGTCCCATGTCTGGATAAATGGAAAAGGATATATTGTTAAAGGTGCACTATATCACTTTCCTGGTGCAGGGTCAGCCTACATTTTAATAATTACTTGGAATGTTTCACAGTATGGTATTAAACTTAAGTATCTCCATGGAAACAAGCAGGAGATGCCACAAGACCAAGATACCAGTCAGAGGAGGGACTGCTGACTGTAGGTATGCATGTTCTTTAAGCAATAAAAACACCCATAATCAAAGAATGGTAGATGGACAAGTTTAATGCCACACTGTGGAATATTTCAGACAAATTAATACCATCTTCATCAAGACAAGCAGGTAGCCAACCCTTTACTCGAAAAGGTACACAATGCACCATTAATATAGGGCATCAGGTGTAAAAAAAAAAAAAAAAAAAGAACTGGACCTGCATTTTATGTCATTATTTGCCAATTTTCGCTTAATTATTAGAGTCACATGTTTGGATAAATAAAAAAGTTTATAATGCATTGATAATACTTTAGTCTAATATGTGCTTTTCCAGACACTCAAAATTGCTTTTCAGTTTCATGCATTATTCAATCAAATCACACTTTGCGGTGATAAGATTCTATTGAACAAAAACAGACCTGGAGTTGTGTTTTGTTTCATTCACACGTTAGCATAATATGGGCCCTTTAAGGTAGGGCATCAGGAGTAAAAAAAAAAAAAACATGAATTGAATGTATTTACAGTGGGTGGATGTGGATGTCTTGCACTGGGACGATGTCAGTTGTGTTTTGAGCTCTGTTCTTCTTCCACAAAGAGAACTTCACCATAAACGCAGAGGGGTTTGGCCTGTAAGGAATACATAAACATTACTATAACAGATATAAATGAATCAAATAAATACTACATGTTGTTCATTCACTCTAGGTTATATTTATACCTGACACAGTGAGCGGCCGTGAGGACCCAGCAGCCTCCGATGTACGCTCCTCCACAGTCAATCTTCTTCCCAGAGTCCACAAGCGCCACCTGCCACTGGATCTGGTACTGCATGACACGGTTAAAGTGATATGAAGTGTTGTATGTCATCTTTTTTTTGTGTTATTTGTAGATTAATTTATAACTCAAAAATATTGCTTTGGATCAATATAAAATAATTATATGGCTAAAGACTATAAAAACATAACTAAAAAGCAAGCCATATATACAGTATATGCCATATGCACTGACCAAAATATATGGAGCCTAATAGATTATATCACTGATGTCTATTGAATTATTTTATGTTTGTAAATTATTAAAAATGATTCAAAGCACTCGCTTTACTGCTCAGGCCATGTTCCTCCTCTCACCTATGGTCATGAGCTTTGAGTATTGACCAAAACAACAAGACGGCAGATACAAGCAGATACAAGCGGTCAAAATGAGTTTCCGCCACAGATTGAGTGTCGTTTCCTTAGAGACAGGGTGAGGACCTCAGTCATACAGGAGGAGCTCAGAGTAGAGCTGCTGCTCCTCCATGTCGAGAAGAGCAGCTGAGGGGACGGCATCTGATGCCTCCTGGACGGCTCACTGAGGAGGGGTTCATGTCCCACTGGGAGGAGGCCCTGGGAAAGATCCAGGACACACTGCAGGGACGATGCCTCTTGGCTGGCCTGGGAACACCTCAGGAGTTGGAAGAAGTGTGGGTAAAAAGAGAAGTCTGGACTTCTCAAACCGGCGCCTTTGTGATGCCAGAGTGATAATGAAGAAGAAAACAGCTGTTTTTTGATCAAATATGTTTCGCAACTCTTCCAAGTTGGTTCTTCAGTTCTGGTCAGACGCTGGTGGACACTTCCTTATATCTGCTTGAAGGAGCCAACTACACGGAAACTACTCTCTGAAACTATCACACCTACTTGTTTACTGTTTCTGTTTGTTGAGAGAGAAATATTAGCAGAATCATTGAGGCCCCTGATGGGAGCTTTCACACCTCTGAGCCTGACCCAGCTATCACAATGTTTTCTTTGTTTTGATTTAGGTTTGAGGCTGGAGTTGTAAATAGGAGAGAGATAGTGTCTGAGCCCTCCATTCCTGTTAAAGATGGATTGTCTTTTAACAAAGATGGCCTCCTTCACTCCCCACTTAAACCAATTCTTTTCTCTGGCACAGATCTGTACCTCACTATCCTCAAAGGAGAGGTCCATGACTTTTAGATGAAGATGTACAGCAGAGTGAGGTCCACTGCTGCTCTCTCGTCTGTGTTGGTACATCGTCTTGTGAAGTGGCTGTTTTGTTTCTCCAGTGTAGCGCTCACTGCAGTCTTCACTGCACTGAATGGAGTAGACCACATTGCTTTGTTTGTGGCTCGGTATTTTGTCCTTTGGGTGGACCGGTTTCTGTCTTAAAGTGTTTATATGTCTGAAAAAGACTGGGATTTCATGCTCCCTGTGTATTTCTGTTACTCACTGGTCTGGCAGGCACACCTCCAACCACCCTCTTTACGCGGCCTCTTCCTCTCTCCACCCCCACCTCGTCATCCACAATGTCCATGTTTGGAACGCCACATTTCACCTGAGACTCCATGTTCTGTCTGCTCAACCTGATCTCTAAAAAACACAAAATGTAACACTTCATTTTAATTACAATTAAAGAGCCCATATTACACTATTCAGTGTGATGTCACAGAGATAACGGGGCAGTCAGTTGAGTGTGTGGACTCATAAGTATCTTGGAACACTCACTGATTCAGAATTGTGTTTTGACCATAATTGTGCTGCTGTGTGTAAAAGAGGCCACCAGCGCCTTCACTGTCTGAGAAAGTTGTCCTTTTACCGTGTAGAGAGAACCATGACGTCCCAGAGTATTTTAAAAGACATGCAACATCCACTTAACTCAGAGTTTCAGCTGCTAAAAGCTCAGAGGCTTTTAGGCCCAAGATCTAGAACGAATCGTTTTAAAATGAGCTTCGTTCTGCTATCATACTTATGAATAAATTGTAAGATTGTGTGTTTTTAACATATTTAATATTTATTGTGATTTTAGCCAAGCATGATGGATGAATTTAACTAATTGTTTATAGACCAAACCATTCTGCACTGGAGCACTGTAACACTTTATTTTGTAATTGTGTTTTTATACGTGTTTTGTGGATGAATGAAATGTGGAACCTACGGGTACAAATAAAGCACCCTAACCTAACTATTTTGTGCATATTTAGTTTCTTCTCTTAAACAGAAAACACTCATCCATCTTGTGATGTCATGTGGTAATAAAGGAAGTGCTCCACACACCATTTTAAGGACTTTTGACCATTCAAAAGATGGAATTTGTTTCTTTTTTCCCCTTTGTTTGTTTTTTAATCTATGGAAATGTTAGTATTCTAGTCTTAAAGGATTGTGTTCATTGTGTAACTTCTGTAAGATTTTTTTCTCCATAGAAATGTTATCCCTTGGTCTGGAGTGTTCCACAATATGGTATAAAACATTTATCATGGACACTAAACCAGACCCAGTTACAGGTCAGATTTGTGGAGAGGCCACCGCAACTCAACAGTCAGAATGTTTGTTTTTCTAGGTATTTTTGAGCTATAGAAACACCTGTAATTGAATACATGTAAAGTAGAGCTGTTTAATGTCATACTGTGGAACATTCCAGGCAGAACAGTGACATATCTATAGAAATAAGCAGGTGATGGAGCCCCAACCAAACCAAAAAGTTACATAGTGCAACTTTAAGGCTCATCAATGCTCCACTTTTGTATGTAAACAGATGTGTTCCAAGTGTAGAAACCATCACAGCATTTATATTTCCAAATGTAATTCTAATGTCAAGGCTGTGTTCTGTTAAACAACCACCAGAGGGCACTACAGGTCAGTTTGAGAAATGACTAAAAAGGATGAAATAGAGCAACAAATAAACAAACAAACATAGAGGTGCCCACAAAAGAGCCTGGAAAATGAGGTGACAGAAGCATGTATGTGTTTTGCAGCTGGTTCTAGACACTTTTAAACACTTTCACTGTCGAGCTGTGTTCACTACTGCCCCCAGAGGTTAGTTCAGGTACTGCTCTGGTGCCAAGATTCCAAGACCGGATTATCCATATGCTGTGTTGGGGAGTAGCAGATTACATGTACCGGTGTTATGTAATCAGAGTACAAATTATGAGTAACTGTATTCAGTTACAGTTACTGTTTCAGTGAGTGGTAATTGGATTACAGTTACTTGGTTGAAATAAATGGATTACACGGCGGTATTTTCCTGTTTTCACATTTTGGGAAATTCCTTTTTTTGTTTTTTTTGTTTTTTTTTTGTTTGGTAATTCCACTCATTGCCGGACACTAAAACCAGGTCTAAACCAGGTCTAAAACCAGGTCTAAAACCAGGTCTAAAACCAGGACTAAGGCAGAACTAAAGCAGGTCTAAAACCAGGTCTAAAACCAGGTCTAAAACCAGGTCCAAACCAGGTCCAAACCAGATCTAAACTAGAACTAAATCTGGTCTAAACCAGGACTAAACCAGGACTAAATCAGGTCAAAACCAGGACTAAACCAGGACTAAATCTGGTCTAAACCAGGTTTAAACCAGGTCTAAACCAGGTCTAAATCAGGTCTAAACCAGGACTAAACCAGAATTTAACAGGACTAAATCATGCTGCGCGGACCGTGTCTTCTCTTCTATCAATAATATTTTTAATATGGTTCAGTAAAGTCTGGGCTTTTTATTGTCTTTTAGCAGACAAAACATCTTATGTGAAGATTTCCTCGTCTTTGCTTCTCTAAGGCAAATCAAGTAATCTAAAGTACTCAGATTACATTACTCACTTTAAGTAATTTAATGGATTCCGTTACAAACTACATTTTGTATGTATTTGTATGTAATCTGTAATCTGTAAGGGAATACATTTTAAAAGTCACCTTCCCAACACTGTCCATATGGGCCAGTTTTCTTAAATTTGTATGTTATTCACTTGAAAATGTTAACTGGCCATACATAAATCATTAACACTAATTTCATAATAACAACAATAATAATTCTAATACCGAACAAATGAAGATTACATGACCATTCATTCCCTCTTCCCCCAATCTGTCAGTTGAGTCAGTCCACAAGTATGCGCAACATATCATTTTTTTAAAAACACGGCAGGAATGAAATATGGACTTGCTTCAATTGAGTAGTTGTGCAAAAAGAAAATTGAAATAAAAAAAAGAGAAAGACTCTAGAGATCAATGTTCCAGAGATCAATATTTTTTTGTAAAAACATGAGGAACTGTCTACATGTATATAGCTGGATGCTGTAAATTATGTTTGGCTTCTTTGCTGGGTTGATGTAGAGAGAAATGCCCTTGCTTATGTGTACTATTTTTCACAGGGATTTTGGTTAGGCATAGTGCTTTATCACGGAAGCCGAGAGGGGTCAAAACTAACGCAAACGCCACAACAAATACAAATGCGACAACACAACAAAAAGCCATAACACACCAAAAAAAGACACAACGGAAATGACCGCTGGACTATTTTAATGCGAACGCCGCAACAAATACAAACGCCACAACACAAACACAAACGTCACAACACATTAAAAAGCCACAATGCATTAAAAAGCCACAACAGAAGTGACCATGGGGTCCGTCGGAAAATATAGTCCCGCGGTCACTTCCGTTGTGGCTTTTTAATGTGTTGTGGCATTTGCGTTTGTGTTGTGGCGTTTGTATTTGTGGTGGTGGTGTTTGCATTAAAATAGAGTTCCACGGTCATTTTCGTTGTGGCTTTTTTTTGGTGTGTTGTGGCTTTTTGTTGTGTTGTCGCATTTGTATTTGTTGTGACCCCTCTCGGCTTCCGTACTTTATAGTCCTACATTGAATGAATATGGCTCTGTAAGATTTCACATGTTTTGAGGAGACGGACCAGATTACAGACAAAACAACACAGGGGATGGACAGAAGTCATGTTTATCAGAAAGAAGTACACAGCTCACCTTTTCTGGGGGTGGTGATATCTGCAGAAAAAACACAGGAAGATAAATTAGTACTTTTTATTATTTTTATACACATTTAATACATACATTTCTAATGTTAATCATTAAAGATTTCTTCTTCTCTTCCATACTACTGAATTTTCCTTCAACAATGTCTGAAAACTCAGTTTATTTTATTTTATTATGAACATTATACATACTTCGGTCTTCTGTCTCAAAGTCAGTTGCATTTTGAGCTGTGGGGAAAAAAACGTATACATTAAAATTGTTTTATATTATGTTTATATAGTCTTAACTAGGGGTGTAATGATATCCAAGTCTAACGATACGATATTGTCACGGTATGAACCTCACAGTATGATATTTATTGCGATATCATGGGAAAGCTCACGTATAGTTGGGAGGCTCATGATTAGGGATGTAACGATATCCAAATCTCTCAGTTCGATAGTTTCACAATATACATCTCATGGTTCGATATTTATTTCGATATTTTGTGGAGGTTAACAAAACTGTTAATATGCAAAATTTTCCTCTTAAAATGCCTTGACAAGACTTAATCCAAAGAACTAAGACTTAAAAGTTCTTAAAACTGTTATTTCTTTTTGTACTCTGCTCTGAAATGGAGCAAAGGATCATGGTCTATGTAGTTCGATGTCTTTTTTTAGCTGTTGCTGCACCATAACTCTTCATTTAAGCGAAGAGACTTATAATTCGATATTTTGTGATGGTCCACGATATTATTGAGAGAACATCCCTAGTCTTAACCCACTGATTTTTGAGTAGATAAAAATGAAAAGTTTAGAAAATTAAATGAATAAATGTCACTTTTTAATTATTTTATGTTAATGAAATCATGTATTTGTTTGACTTTCTATTAAAGAGGGAGTATTTGACTTCTATGGGGTATTAACAGTAACACATAACATACTTAGATGACCATGTTCTCTTTTATCTTTTGGAAAATGCACTCTGAGTCCCTCTTTCATTTGCTCTCCACACTAAGTCAGTCCCCTTTCAGAGCGCTACCACAAGTCATCATGTGCAGTTTTGTGTCATGTTTTTGTACATTTAAGGAGAATTGTCGCGTGGAAGCGTGGGTGACGTAGGCTTGTGGGCGGAGCCTTGTACAGAACCTCACAACTAACCGAAGGAGGGTTTGAATAGAGCCCAGGAGAGAACGCTAAATGACTCAAACAAGCATGGATGACTCTAAAGCCTCTTAATACATGTTTCTGATGAGGGAGCAACATTATAACGTGGGAGAAAGCTCAAAAAAGTAGATTTTACATAATACCCCGTCTTTAAAGAAAGTTTTTATTTAACTTTAAACTTATAAATGTGAAAAAAGTTATTTAAGGTAATTCTTTTTATTTGTGAGCGTGCAGATTCAACATTTTATGCTGCTAATACATGCCATGACGACACACTTTTAAAGGTGCATTTTGCAACTTTTCTAGTGCTTGTTTCTATGAATACATCATTGCTCTGCCTAGATTGTTCCACAGTATGACATAAAACAGCTCTACTTTACATTTATTCAATTACAGGTGGTTTTACAGCTCAAAAATACCTAGATAAACAGGCAAAAACTGACTATGAGTAGAATTGCCTCTCCACAGATCTGACCTGTAACTTGGTCCAGTTTTTTTCTCCATGAAGATAGAAAGGTTTAACACCATACTGGGAAACATTCCAGACAAAGTAACAACACCTCTCTGGAGAAAAGCATTCGACGGACCCTCCACCAGAAAAGTTACACAATGCACCTTTAAGAACATAATACTAATTCAGTCTTGTATAAACCAATAATAGTAATGATCTCACCTGGTGTTTTCACCTCGTCTCCTCCGTCCAGACAGTCCCTCACTCCGTCCCCGACTGCAGATCTGGGGATGCACACTCCAGAGTTACACCTGAACGCATCTCCTCTGCACTCTGAAACAACACCAAAAAGTGTGAATAAATCAACAATAAATCTGTCAATATTTAATAGTCCTATATTACGCAAAATTGAGTTGCTTCATCAAAAACAGACCTAGAGTTGTGTTTTGTTTCATTCACACGTTTGAGCAACTTTTTATTATTAGTCTGTCTGCATCTCCAGAGCTCAAAATGCTCTGTTCCACCTTGTGATGTCATGTGAAGTGGTAGTTTTGAAGTTATCAGCTCCTTTTACCTTTAGTTCAGTAGGCATTGGCAATTTCAGGGCTGAAATTATCCAAATGATTCTAGTGAAGGTGCATTGAGTTTAAAAACAAAGTGGAGCACTTTCTGCTTTAACACATGACATCACAAGGTGGAACAGAGTGTTTTCTGTCTGAGACAATAACTTAGCCTAAATATGCAGGATTTGTGTGTTAAACATATGTGAATGAAACAAAACGCGACTCCAGGTCTGTTTGAGATGAGGAAATAACATTAGAACATAGATCAGAAAATAGTGTCATATGGGCCCTTTAAAATGTATTTGATTGTTTTTCACCAGTAGGTGGCAGATGTGAAACTTGTTTCCTCCTCTCAGATAGGAAGTGAACATGGGCACTCTTCCAGCACCATCAACTCTGGCTCTAATTTGTGTGAAAAGTCCCTCAGTCGTCCAGGTAGAGAAATTAGTTTGTCAACTGGACAAAAATTTTGTTTGGTCGAATACGTTTCACAGCTCATCTCAACTGCTTCTTCAGTTCTGGTCAGAACGCTGGTGGACACTTCCTTATATCTGTCTGCAGGGAGGAGCTAACTAACTACTCTGAAACTAACACACCTACTTGTTTACAGTTTCTGTTCGTTAGTTAGGTCTATTGACCTGTACTGGGTGTGGGGTCTAATTAGCATAATCATTCAGAGCTTCCACACCTCTGGACCTGACCTGACTACACCTGTTGTTCTCTTGTTTGTTTTGATCTAGGTTTGAGGATGGAGTTGTAAATAGGAGCTAGATGGTGTCTGAGTCCTCCATTTCTGGCTTCTTTAACTTCTGGCTCTTATTCACTTTCTATAAAAAAAAAACAAAAAAAAACATTGCCCCTCTCTCTGTAACTCTGTCATTTTAGTCTTAAAATGTTCATATTAACCCGCTTTACGTGATCCCAGTGTTTTAATTTCACTATTTTGTTCCTAAATCAAGATATGAATATTAATAACAGATGAATCAGGTGCTCTTTTTCCTTAAGGTCACTCCAGCTAGTGTTATGAACAGATTTGATTCACAGCGCTGCTAAGGGAAGGGGGTTATCTTCAACAGTCTCACTCTGGATTGGCTCTTTGGCTTTTTTGGTTGCTATGATATTTGCGATGGGAATTCCAAATATGGATTTCAGCTCCAAATTCTCTCCTATAACTGCAAGCCTCCATGAGCTTCATTTGACTCGAGCAGAACGTTGTGAGTGACGTCAGGCTCACTCTTTTAACAGTCTATGGTTGTGCACATGACTAATAAATAAAAACTTGTGTAACTTTACTTTTGCAGCACATCTCGTCGCTTCGGTCTCCACAGTCATCGATGCCATCACACGCCTGCAGCCGGGAAATGCATTTGGAGTTTACACAATTAAAGTTGCAGTCTGGAACACAGAACAACAAATGGACCGTTACCATGGCAATACACTCTACAAACATGTGCCACATTTGTTTTTAGATGGTCTGAAAAGGACGAAAGGTAAGGAAGGAATAACTTTGAACCACTGCAAACTGTTTTAAATGAACTGGTTCTGTTTTTCACCTTTTTTAAGACAGCAGAAATCATGCACCAGTCTCTTGCTATTTTTACAACTTATTTTGAATGTATTTATTAATAATTATTTGCTCTTTGTTATTATAATACTCAGTACAGTTCCCCTGTGGATCAATAAAGTTTATCTAAGTCTATAAGTCTAATGTTCTGCTCTAATTTGAAATAAATGAATGCATTATAATAATAATAATTTTTAAAAGGTGTTTATAATTATAGATACAATTATGTCATGATTTTTTACACTATAAAATAATGCAGCTCAATGTAGAAGTATCTCATGTATTCAGAATACAGTCCTCTGATTGGACTATGTATCAGAGTACATTAGAAAATACATTTTAATATACACTGGCTGGGTGACAGTAGCTCAGTTGGTGGAACATTTGTCCACTGATCTGAAAGGATGGAGGTTCAAATCCCACTCTTGACATAAACATCATTGGTTGAGCGGTCAGGTGTTGTGCCTATGGCCGAGATACTAAATCCAAGTCTCCTCCAGTATCTCAAGTATTCAGAACACAGTACTCTGATTGGACCATGTATCAGAATAGGTTATAAAATACATTTTAATTTAGGTATTTATCTTTAACTAAATACATTTTCAAAGTATTTCTCCAATCACTGCTCATGTTGTGTTTGTATTTGACCTTTGACGGGGCCGCTGTAGCAGTCTGCCTTTGCGACTGTGTGGTCCATGCCGCTGTGGGTGAGGAGGCCACACTCTCCCAGGTTATTCTCAAACCCCTCACACTCAACATGGACACAGCTCTCTGGGTAAGATCTCTGCCCATGCTTCTTCTTCAAGTCGGAAAACTGGATTTTGGCGACCTCTTGTGCACCTCTGGGAAAAAACACATAAATTAGTGACGTCATTTTTTATTTATTTATTTAAAATAGGGACAAAACACATTAATGAACATATACATGATATGTAAATATGTTATCAGATTGTAGCCCAAGGCTAATTTCCATCTCCTTGTTCATGAATGAGTCAGCTCTTTTGAGCAGTTCCTTAAAGGGTCCATGTTAGGCTAGTTTCTGATCTGTTATAATATATTATAACATATTTTATAAGTTTTAAGAAAACACATAAAACATAATTACACACAAATAAAAAAGAGATAATGATAACAATAATAACACCCTAACATCCTCACCCCTGTCATAATTTGGTAATCTTTTAGTGAGTCATGTGCTCAAAAATAACTGATCTAGACTCATTAATCGTTAGGCCCGAGCATCATAAGCTGGTGAAGGACCTATCAGTATCACAAGACGATGTTCCTTGTGGGCAGGAAGTGAAATAAAGTGATATTTTTCACACACGAGCAGTGAAGCAACAAAAACTGTACACAGTTTTGGAGACTTTGGATATTTACAAATTGCTCCCATTTGCACAAATGAACTAAGATTTCAGTGAAATTTTAAACAGTTATTAAACTCTCTGCCCTAAAGCTACTAAATGTGAAAACATTTAATTTGGTGTGTTAGCACCCCCTACAGATTGAAATAAAATTTTATATGGGGGGAAAAAATTGTTTTTCAAAAATTTCTGACATTTTACACAAAATTCCATTTTGCCATTTTGATCCAAAAAGTCAATGACACCCAAAGCCATATTTTTTATGATGTTGCCATAGTGATGACATAAACTCTCCATGTTATTCCAATGGTAAAATCCACAAATCGCACAAACTTCGGCCCGAGTTCACTCAAATTTTAATCGTGGGTGCACACCCCAACCCTGAACAGACTGATGTAAGAAAATACAAAACTAGCTGCAGTAGCACCCCTTAGGTAATTTGTATAGAACGATAACATGTTATTTGTCATAGATATACAAACTTTGATAGGCACATTTGTGACATGGTCTCGATTTAAAAACACACCCCATTTACATTGTGTTGCCATAGTGACAAGCCTTGCCAGTGGGACGTTCTTACATAAACTTTGGCGTAGCCAAACCAAATTTGGTAGCCACGCAGTAGTGACCACGCCCCTTCACAACCCGGAATTCTACCATCTTTGATTTTTTATTTAATTTTTTTAAAATAAACACGTGTAAAAATGTTGAAAAATGGCAGGATTAGGTTAGGAGTTAGGGTAAGGGTTAGCATTAGAGTTAGGGTCTGTTAGTTGAGTCCAATTTCCTCACAGTGGATGTTGACGTTCTCTACAGTACACATTTGCGGCGGCCTTGTTCCACGACGAGCCACAGATCAGCTTCCTGTCGGTGGTCTCAGGGTTAAAGGGGTTTGGTATCTCCAGAAGGATCACACCTGTGTCCGGGTCCTCACTGCTGTCGTAGATCTTATGCTCCGCTTTGGATTGAAACAAAATGAATATTATAGGTCTTATATCACACAAAACTGACTCCTGTGAGCTTTAATCATGTTATAATGTTGTTTCCTCATCAATCCTGCATTATTGGTTTTATAGTAGACCTTGTGATCTCATGTAGTGGTAGTTTCAAGTCAACAGCTCCTTTTAGTTCAGAGGAGATTGAGATAGAGTTTTAAAAACAGTAGAGCAATTATACAACCACATGACATCACAAGGGGGAACAAAGTGTTTTCTGTTTGAGAGACTGAGCCTAAATGTGCAGGGTTTGTGTGTTAAACGTGTGAATGAAACAACATTGTGATGAGGAAACTACATTAGAACACAGATCAGAAAATAGCGTCATATGGACCCTATAAAATGCACTACCAGTCAAAAGTTTGGACACACCCTCCCATTCAATGTGTTTTTACTCTGAAGATCTGAGGTCCAAAATCTACAGTGTTTATAGAGGCGTTCAAACTCACATGAACAGGTGTCTGCAAAATGAGACACAATCGGACGGCGGTTTCGACAAGCAGAAGCCATTGCCTAAAAGAGCACCAAGAAAACCAGTTAGAACGGCAAATAATGATTATTTAAATGATTGAAGATGGGGTATTACACAATAAATTTTTTTGTTTTGTTAGTTTAAATATCTTTATGACCCAATATACATGTTTATTTTGTAGTCTTCAGTGGGTTTTAAGTGTTACAGTCACATATACCAGCTGCTAGTTTAGCTAAACTTACACATTAGGAGCAGTAAATGAGAGTAACTGAATTTTACCTATGAAAGAACATTCCCTTTTTCCTGATTTTGTTGTTTATAGAATTAAAATGACCAAATAGCATAGGTTAAGTCTCTGGCATTGCATATGAAGAGGTGGTCCTCTTGGGATGACATCCGTTGCTGTTGCTCAAGTAGAATCTTTTTCTTTTTTGTTTGTTTTAAACAAGGACAGTGCATAGAAAACATTCATCTCACAGAGAAAGGATGCTCTGTGCCAGATTTAACTACAAGCTATTTTCCATCTGCACTCCTTGTGCAGGTTCAAAATACAATTCAATAAACTATTTACATTAGACCAACAGTGTCTCCGTAAAATAACCACTATCCAAGTCATCCATCCATTTTCCACTTATCCGGGGCCGGGTCGCGGGTGCTGCAGTCTAAGCAGAGACTCCCAGACTTCCTTTACCCTAGACACTTCCTGCAGCTCCTCTGGAGGGACCCCTAGGTGTACTCACACCATCTGAGAGACATAGTTCCTCCAGCGTGGCCTGGGTCTTCCTCGGGGCCTCCTCCTGGTGAGACATGCCTGAAACACATCACCAGGGAGAGGCCCGAGTCACCTCAGCTGCTCTTCTCAACGTGGAGGACCAGCAGCTCTACTCCGAGCTCCTCCTGCGTGACTGAGCTCCTCACCCTATCTCTAAGAACGTGCTGCAACGATCCGCCCGTCAATCTCACATTCCATCCTCCCCTCACTCATGACCTCACCCCAAGATACTTGAACTCTCTATCTAAAACAATCAAAATGTATTCATTCTAATTTTCATAAATACAAGGTTTCATTATCATTATTTTCTAAAATATTCACGTTCTTTGTCATCAAAGTCCTATATACCAAATTCATCAGTATTATTATCCTGTAAAATACAATCCGTCAACAACATTACCGTCAAAAACATTACCATCTGATCTGAGTCTTTATGCTCCCGAGGTCGCGCTCGCTAGTCTTAGCAACAGGTTTGATTGACAGCCTTGCTAAGCCCCGCACTGCTGGTTTGACAGAGGGCAGGAAGTTAACTTTAACAGATTGGCTCTTTGGTTGCTCTGATACTCGTGGTGGGAATTCTGAATGGCTCCAAATTTATCCCAATAACTGCATGCCTCGATGAGCTTCATTTGACTGCAGCCGAACACATCTTAGGTCATTTTAATGTAATGACGATCTTTTTCTTCACTTTGCCAAATATATATGACCTAAAAATATATATGACCTAAAAATATATACGACCTAAAAATAAGTAAACACAGATATAAACATAAAGAGTGATGGGGTTTACCTGGCAGTAGGATCTGTAACCACGGTAATTTCGTCCACAAACGGCTGTAACGTTTTGAGTGGGACAGAGATACGGAGGTTTACAGTAACACTGCCCATTCACACAGCGCTCCCAGGGATAACAGAACACCAGACCACAGGACAATCTTGTATGTCTACAAACAACAGAGTGGCAGAGTGGTTAGCCTGTCTCCTCCTCTCTCAGTAAGGAGGCTGTGGGTAAATATTTTACAGTGCAAAGGTGCATCCAGACTGTGGGGTCAAAAAACATGTCGGACGCCTCTAGTTGGATGCCTTTGCATTTGAGCTTAGACGACCCTAAAGTGTGTTTTGGACGCTGTGGATGAAGGGGAGAAAAATGCCTGACGCATGTCCAGGGCGTCCGTTGCCCTGGAATTCAGTCCAGGTACAGTCCTGGTTTAGTCCTGGTTCAGTCCTGGTTCAGTCCTGGTTCAGTCCTGGTTCAGTCCTGGTTCAGTCCTGGTTCAGTCCTGGTTCAGTCTGGTTCAGTCTTGGTTCAGTCTTGGTTCAGTCTTGGTTCAGTCTTGGTTTAGATCTGGTTTAGATCTGGTTTAGATCTGGTTTAGATCTGGTTTAGACCTGTTTCAGTCCTGGTGTAGTCCTGGAGATCGGCTCAGCAGCTGTGGCGTGTATGTTTATACTTATTTATACTCCGCTCATGACATAGCATTGGGTTCCTGTTTTATGGTGTTTGTGGCTCCCAGCCATGGTTCTCTGGTCTTTCTCTTTCTTCTTCTTCCGGATAAAGTAACGTCACTAGACAGTCATCCGTGATTGGTTGACACGACATGTCCGATGCCAAAAGTTCAGCATTTTCAACTTCTGACACCAATGCCAGGATGCCCTAAACGCACGTCCACATAGACTTTGTATGTAAATGGATGCCAGGCTGAACACACTACAGCAGTACTCTTACTTGAGTACAAGTTTTGGTGACTCTTCTCATTGTGAGTGGCAAAAGCTTTATGTTGACAGTACTAATGATCTGAACCTGTTATAATTTTTTAGTTCTTACTTTTGGAGGTCTGTCCTTTTTGAGCATTATTTAAAGGGCTATTTTCTGATTCATGTTCTAATGTTGTTTCCTCATCACAAACAGACCTGGAGTTGTGTTTAGTTTCATTCACACGTGTTTAACACACAAACTCTGCATATTTAGGCTGAATTCTTCTCTAAAACAGAAAATATACTGTTCCACCTTGTGATGTCATGTGGTAGTACAGGAAGTGCCACTGTGTTTTTAAACTCAATACACCTTCACCAGAATCATGTGGATAATTTCAGACCTGGAATTGTCAACCTCTACTGAACTAAAGGTAAAAGGAGCTGTTCACTTGAAAACTACTACTTCTGGAACTACTGCACTGGAACAGAGCATTTTGAACCTTGGAGATGCAGCTATACTAAAAAAAAGAGAGTTACTTTAACATGTGTGAATGAAACAAAACACAACTCCAGGTGTGTTTTTAATTAGGTAACATGGTTAAGTTACTCTTACACATGCTTGTATTTGAGTCATTTTTTTTTTTTTAAAGGGACAGTGCATATTCATGTACATTTATTTGTAAATACGCCAGAATTAGCCCAAAGTCTACTTTTCATCTGTAGTCCCTGGCAGGTCAGAGAGATAGAGACATAAAACATAAGAACATAAAACACGTCACAATAGACAAACACACAATCATGACAAGCATTTCTGGGACAACTATTATACTACTACCTGAGTGTCATTATTTTGAAGAAACTTGAGAAAATTGTTGGTTACTCTGCCCACATCTGCTCAACATCATTAAGTGAATAGAGAAAACTTATTCTATCTTATTCTAAATGAGCCTTACCTCTGTTCTAAACACTCCTTTGGGCCCACGACCTCGTCTTTTGCTACTGCGACGCTCTCAGTCGAATTCAGCTCCTTCATCACTTCTGTTCTGTTCTGTTCGACTGGTGGACCAAGATCCAACTGCTCTGGGGGGCTCTCCTACAACCAACAATATTAAGAATGAAATGACACTTTGCAGTGACCTCACGCTGGGGGAGTTCTACATGTATCTCTATGGTGGAATGTTCAGCAGTTCCTATGGTGACACAATGCACACAGTAGTAAACAATACTACATAAGTTTTAAGATTTGAGACTCATAATTATGACTTTTAAAATCGGTAAAGATGACTTCCTCTGAAGCTTTTATTCTGTACCACCGGACAACGTCCCCAGGTGAGGTCAACAGCTCTCCTCCCCGCACTGAAAACAGTGTTGGAGGAGAACTGCTAACTAAATATTTTGTGTATTAAGGCTGGGTCTTTGCAAGGCCACGCCCACATCGCTCCATGTGACACATCACCACCAACAGTGTGAGGGTTCTCCCTGCTCCTCCTACCCCTCCTTTCCCTGCTCCCTCTCTCTGTATTTACTTACCTTATTTGTTTTTTCCTGGGCGGGTCCCCAAATCATCTCACCTGCTGAGCTCCACTCCTGATCCTCGTCAGTAATCATCTCCGGCAATAAAAGACCTGCTGACCTGCTCTCCAGTGCCAGATCGTTCCGTCAACCAAGTGTTCAACCGTTTTGGAGCCAGCCTCATCCTGTTACCACCTGTTCCGAAAGCCTCTGGTCAGCCTCTTCACCATTGCACTTCAGCCAACCCGGACCCGTCCTACCTCCCCTGGAATCTATCCCCCTGTCCACGACTATTTTTGTTAATAAATACTTTTGTTACTGCAAATTTGGGTCCGACCAGTGATTCCTAACAAACAGACCCATAACACCGGCAACTCAATGGATATTTGTAGATCTTGCTAGTGAGAAGCAGATTTTTTTTTCATTAGTTTTAAAATGACTATGCTATACTGACAAATGTGATGTGTCACTGATTGAGAAAATAAAATTGTAGACCAAAGTTAGTACATCACAGTGGGTGTATGCCTGTGGCGGTGAACACGGGGCTTGATCGGCATTATGGCGTCTTAAAAATAAGTGAGTAAAGATTATACATGTACAAATCACTCCAAATACAACTTCCAGAGGATAAATGAGAAGGGGAACAGCTATAACATGATTAAAAACTCTGGAAAGCTGATTTTGCAGAATGTGTTCTTTAAATGACCTGGAGAAGATATGAGGAAAAAACACACCAGGCCTAAATCCAGACCAAAGAATTAAAGATCTAAAATTTAAAGGTGCACTATAACTTTTTGGTTGGGGGACTCTCACCTTTTTCTTTCTATGGCAATGTCATTTTATAGCTCAGAAATGCCTAGAAAAACAGACATTTTGACTCACTCCACAGATCTGACCTGTAACTTGGTCTGGTCTCCATGAAGATAGAAAGGTTTAATGCTATACTATCAAACTTTCCAGACAAAGCAATAACATATCCATGGAGAAAAGCATTTGACGGACCCTGCACCGAAAAAGTTACACAATTGCACCGTTAAGAATGTCTAAATACATTGAAAAAACTCACCAAAATATGTTTCCTTACCGATAAAGTCTGAAGCACCACCAGCAGCAGCAGAAATAAGCCTGCTAGTTTCATCCTGACCCACATATTTTAGCTCCAAATCTATAACAAATGACAAAATGATCCAAACTATAACAGACTTTTGACTTTAGCACACAGACAGTTCTTTAAAGTGTGAATGGACAGAGGTATGGAAGCTCTGCTGTTGTGACGTCACCAATCAAGAATCAATATTGTGTCCTTTTTTGGCCCTCATTGATTTGATGGGAGGAGTTTTACGGTTTACCCAGACTAAACAAACTCCCAATGTGGGCGAAAGGAACAAAGTGCATGTGCTAGAATTTTGGGTGAAAATAAATGACAAAGTTAGAGTTTTGACTGTTTCAAAGGTGTAGAGATTTCTTTTATTACTTTTTTGTGCATATAAAGCATGTCAAAGAAAAAATATATATATTAGTAGTAATGTATGTAATGTGACACCCCCCGTTACCCTCCCCCACTGTCTCCAGAGAAAAGAAACTAAATAGGAAAACACTCATCTCTTATATATACATGCATATACACATACAGTCCCTGACAAGTCTTGTCACTTATCCATTTTGTAGAAACAAAAGCTTATAACCTGACTTGAAATTAATTGATTTGTTTTAGAAATGTCTCATATGAAGCTAAAACCCTCCCAAATTATGCTCAATATACTAAAATAAATTTGCTTCACTGAAGAAAGATTGATCATTTAATGAACACAGAAAGGTCAGATTTTGGCAAGACAAAAGTCTTGTGGCCTTGTCATATGATGCACCCAATCCTAGATTACAGCCTCACCTGTGATCAGTTACTGATCAATCAATTAGTGGGTGTGTATAAAAAGAACCCAGCACACCAGACCTTCACATCAACTGCAACTTGACCTCTGACAACATGCCTAAGATCCACCCTGAGACCAAAGCCTTAATTATCAAGAGGCTGAAGACCAGATCCACTGCTGAGGTGGTGACACCTTCAATGTGTCTCAGCGTCAAGTACAAAGAATAAGAAAAAAGATCTGAAATGACTGGAGATGTTTTTTGACAAGCCCAGGTCCGGCAGACCCCGCAAGACAACTGCTCGGGAGGACCGTTTGTTGATTCAAAAATCCAAGGCCCCTTTTCCACTGCAGCAGACTCCACCAGGCCTGGTCACCTCAAGTCCCTGTGTCAACCACAACAGTTTGTAGAATTCTGTCTCGAAATGGCCTCCATGGTCGAATCAGTGCACAGAAACCAGCACTAAACAAAAGGCAATTAAAAAAACCGTGTGGCATTTGCCAAGGCCCACAGCCTGCTAAAAGGATGGCACTGGAAAAGTGGCAGAAGGTGGATTTCTCAGATGAATCCTCAGTTGAATTACATCACAGCCGCCGCAAATATTGCAGGAGACCTACTGGAGCCACATGGATCCAAGATTCACCCAGAAAACAGTCAAGTTTGGTGGTGGAAAAATCCTAGTCTGTGGTTCCATCCAGTCTGGGGGTGTGTGAGACATTTGCAGGGTGGAAGGCAAATATCAATAGCCTAAAATATCAAGAAGTATTAGCTCCTCTTACATTCCCAACCATAAAAGGGGTCAAATTTTGCAGCAGGATGGTGCTCCATCACATACTTCTATCTCTACATCAGAGTTTCTCAAGGTGAAGAAGATCAAGGTGCTCGAGGACTGTCCAGCCCAGTCACCAGACATGAACATCATGGAGCATGTCTGGGGTAGAATGAAAGAGGAAGCATGGAAGACAAAACCAAAGAATCTTGATGAACTCTGGGAGGCTGTAAGACGCTTTCTTTGCTATTCCTGATGACTTCATCAACAAATTGTATGAATCATTGTGGAACCACATGGATGCGTCCTTCAAGCTCATGGAGTCATACAAGATATTAAATATGGATCTCACAGCACCACTACTTAATTCACTGACGTTATGCAACATATTTTTGTATTTGAAGTACATTATTTGTTCAATTTTCTGTAGGCGACAAAACTTTTGTCTTGCCAAAATCTGACCTTTCTGTGTTCATTAAATGATCAATCTTTCTTCAGTGAAGCAAATTTATTTTAATATACTGAGCATAATTTGGGAGGGTTTTAGCTTCATATGAGACATTTCTAAAACCAATCGATTAATTTAAAGTCAGGTTATAAGCTTTTGTTTCTACAAAATGGATAAGCGACAAGACTTTTGTCAGGGACTGTACATATATATATATATATATACACACACATACACTAGGGGTGTCAAATTATCGCGTTAATTGCGATTAATTAATTACAGTCATATTTAGCGCATTATGTTTTTTAATCGCGTTAATCTCATTTTTAATCTCTAATTTAACTGTTTCTGTTTGCGAGTTGCTTTATTATAAAACCTGTTTTTATGTGTTGTTGGGACAACAACACACACACACACAAAAAAACACATTTATACATTTTTTTATTTCGGTAATTCCACTCATTGCCGGAAACCCACACAAAACGCGCGCAGTAAGAGCGACGTAAACGTCATGTTAACGTTGGCGGCGTCAGTCGCACAATGGACGAGGTGGAAGAGCCAGTAGAACAGAGCAGCAGTGCACAGGGAAAAACACATTCGTGTCTTGGAAATTCTTCTCCCGACGTGAAATGTAAAAGAAAATAACAAATATAAAATCGCCTACAACTTAAATGTCACTGGTGAAAACAACCTGCATAGACTCATGATGTCTGCACTACTGTCCTATACACAAACACACACAAACACACACACACACAAACACACAAAAACACACACACACAAACACAAACACACACCTTCATCATCGTCATTAACCTGAGAACGTGCGGACCACGTTTCCTTCCGTAGTTACTGCGCGGACAGCGACGTGCTCCCGTGAGCCGCGTGTGGATCGTGTTTTCTTGCGTACGCGACGTAAACCCGCGCTTCCTCCTGTGTGCCTCTAAACCAGAACTAACACCAAGACTAAAACCAGGACTAATCCAGTCCAGGACTAAACCAGGTCTAAACCAGAACTAAACCAGGACTAAACCAGAACTAAACCAGGACTAAACCAGAACTAAACCAGGACTAAACCAGGACTAAACCAGAACTAAACCAGGACTAAAACCAGTGATGTCATAAATAAAGCATTTCTCTATCAATAATATTTTTAATATGGTTAAGGAAAGACTGGACTTTTTATTGTCTTTAAGTAGACAAAAGTTATTATGTTCAGATTTCCTCGTCTTTGCTACTTTACAGTAAACAGTTTCTTATTCATGGAGACTTGGGCTCAACAGCCAATTTGGAGAGATTTGTTAAACAATAAATGACTTTATAAAGTCACTTTTTCTGTTCTATATTAGTGTTTTGATCTGCCACAATAATGTAATAATGAATTTAAATGAAAATACCTCAAATTGAAGGCTTTTCTCAGCAATTTTTAGGTGAGATTAAAATGAGATTAATTAGATTAATTAATTACAGATCATAATTAATTTCTCAATTTTTTTAATCGTATGACAGCACTAATATACACACACACACATATATATATATATATATATATATATATATATATATATATATATATATATATATATGCACATAAACATATACAGTCAAGCCTAAAATTATTCATACCCCTTACAAATTTTGACTTAAAGTTACTTTTATTCAACCAGCAAGTTTTTTCTTGATTGGAAAAGACACAGGCATGTCCCAGAAGATAATAAGATGATGTACAAGCAGCATCATTGCGGAAAAAAAAAAAAATTCTCAGCTTTTATTTACATTTGAACAAAAAGCGGCATGTCCAGAATTATTCATACCCTTTGTAAACTGTCAGAGTCTATGGAAAAATCCAAAGGTCTATACCATTCCAAACAGTACAAGCTGTTCTAAAACTTCCTAATTCTTCTGATTCATTGGGAAGAGCTGTTTTAAACAACTGAACAGGTGAAAAACAGCAGGTCTTTGCAGTTGGTTTGTGAACAGTCATGGCTAAGACAAAAGAGCTCTCTGAGGATCTACAGCTGTGTATTGTGGCTGCTCACAAGTCAGGAAAGGGCTATAAGGCCATATCTATATGTTTTCAAGTTCCAGTGGCTACAGTGTAAAGAATTATTAAAAAATACAATATGTTCCACACTGTGGAAAATCTCACAAGATGTGGCTGGAGGCCAAAAGTGACACCTGTGCTGGCCAGGAGGATAGTGATAAGTGAAAAAGAATCCACAGGTCACCACCAAGGCCATCTAAGTGAATCTGAGCCCTGCTGGTAGCAACATCTCAAGGCAGACAATCCAACAGACACTACATACTGCAAAGTTCCACGGACGCAGACCAAGAAGGACACCACTTCTCCAGATAAGGCACACAAAAGCCCGTTTAGCCTTTGCAAATGCTCCTCGGGACAAAGAAGATGACTTTTGGTCTTTTGTTTTATGGTCACATGAAACAAAAAATGAATTGTTTAGCCACAATGATGTATTGATGATTTGGCGTAAAAAAGGAGAAGCCTTCAACCCTCAGAACACCATCCCCTGTCAAACATGATGGTGGGAGCCTAATGCTTTGGAGATGTTTTTCAGCCAATGGACCATGGAGTCTAATCCCAGTAAACAGCACCATGAACAAAGAGCAATACATCAAGATTCTCAACTACAACATCAAGCAGCTGCAGAGGAACTTGGACTTGGGCACCAGTGGACATTTCAGCACGACAATGACCCAAAGCACACTGCAAAAGTGCTGAAGAAATGGTTATTGGACAACAACATTACCGTTTTGCAGTGGTCCAGCCAGAGTCCTGACTTGAATCCAACTGAGAATCTGTGGAGGGAGCTAAAGATCAGGGTGATGGTGAGGAGACCCTCCAATCTGAAAACATTGGAGCTCACTGCTAAAATAGGCCAAAATATCAGTGGAAATGTGCAAAAAAACTTGTCAGCAATTATAGGAAGAGTTTGATTACTGTAATAGCCAATAAAGGCTTTTCTATTGATTATGGAGAAGGGTATGAATAATTCTGGACATGCCACTTTTTTTTCAAATGTAAATAAAAGCTGAGAAATATTTTTTTTTCCACAATTTTTAATTTTTAATTTTTTCCCTTTTGTACATTGTCTTATCTCTTGGGAGACGCCTGTGTCATTTCCAATCAAGAAGAAAATTACTGGT